TTCAAAGCAATATATACTTAATGCCTTTTTAAAAAACCCTAATATAATGTGAAAAGGCCAAAGTTTGCAATGCCAGGAAGTAGTTATAAACTACTTCATATGTTTGAAATAAAAAGTACTTCAGTATTATTATTAAAAAAAAAACTATTGGTAGAGTTTTTTATAGGAAAAAAATACATATCTTTAAAAGCCAAAATGACCAGTGAAATTGGGTTGTACATCATTTTCTGGGAAAAAGGAAAAACAGCCTCGACAGGTGTAATTTATCATTTTTCTGATTTAATACCAAAGAAATATATTAAAATAATAAAAAGAATCCTGAAATCCTCAAAATTTGTAGTGATAAATAGCCCTCCCTGTCTTTATTGCATTATGCCTACTAACAGAAATATTGCATGGTGGATTTTGCCAGACAAGGACGATTATTTTCCAATAAAAAGTTGCATATTAAATTCCAGCACAAAAGTGGGTGTCTAATACTTTTGAAATCTTTTATGGTTTGCCAGGGAACACAATTTTAAACTTAACTAATACAACATCACGGTGAAGTGAACCAGCATTAAAGCCGTCTTTGTACAACCCCACCCATCTAAGCAGAAAAGCTACTGTTCTCAGAATTTTTGTTTGAAGTATTTCCATTGAAAAGTAATTGAATAAATTTTTGGTATTTAAGTTTTTAGTTAATCTCTCTTTTTACTAGTCTTTAAACATTTCACATTGATGTTTAAGATGTGTATTTATGAAGGCAGTGCTGCTTCACATCCTGATTACGCATAGGGGTCTGAAACTGCTCTTGCAACAGTTAGCAAGTTTCTGCAAAGAAAAAAACCCCACAATTTCATCACAATTCTACTCTTCAGGAGAACTTAGGTTATTAAAGATCTACTTTCTCATCCTTTCTAGGTCCTGATGTTATTATATCTATTTCATGAGCAGAAATTCATTTGCAAATATAATTTGAGTAATTCGAAAACTAAGACTATCAAGACATTTCAGCCTTGGAAAAGTATTATTTGCACCAATAGTTTATACTGACCCTCATTTTTGAGAGCTACCATGTGAATACATGCCTTTGAAAGCCTCCAGAAGACAATATGAAATGCTAGATGCTTGTTGGCTTTAGCAGTAATATGAGGCTGATTATCTCAGCAAGTATACATACATAAATAAACAAGCAAGCACTTTAAGTTAGGTGCACCACGTTAAATTTCTTGGTTACTCTGAAAGTGTTTTGAATCCTACTGAAGCAATAAGTATATAGTATAAAAGAGAAGAAAGCTCATTAGTCTCTTCATAAACCTTACTAATGAAATAAATCTCTCCCCTTCTGTTTTTGTCAAATTTCTTAGTAATGTTTCACTTTCAAGTCCTTTCCAGTCCTACTTCTGTGATGCCATGAGAACATAAACACATGCATATTTAAAATATCAAGTTAGCTGCTTAATGGTATTTCAAGTAAACATATAGAAATACACATTGTATGATTTTCATTAAACAAAATTCACTTACGGAATGTGGAAACCCACACTCATCTTTCAACCCAAAGAAATATATTAAAATTCTTCTTATATGATTAGAGTTCTATGGAGAAATAAAATGATACCAATTGTCGTATCCCAGGTGCCTTCCCCTCTGCTTGTCTAACAATCTCCTCTAGAAAATTACTGAAAAGTTGTTTTTATTTTAAAATAGCGAAGGATTTCAATATTGAATGTTTTCATGAGCTCTGGTGGTTTATTATCTGTCGCATACCTTTAAATGTTGTGTCACATCAAAACCAGTTACTACTTTTTTTTAAATCTTCTTGCTCAATTGACTGAAAATTCAAAGAGCAGACATTCTTCTCCAACTTATAATAAGTGACTGAGTATTAGAACAAGACACAAAAGGTTTGCAGCAGATAGCAAGTTAGCATCCATGATTTGGGTAAGGATTTCACAAAAATACTTGAACCCAGACAAAAATCCACGTGGAAAGTCATGGCTGTTTTATCAGTAGTAATGATGACACTGACAGAATGAGAAACTTAGAATCAGGCAACAACAAAACATGTGAAAAGGCTTGTGTTTAAAATCTAACTCATTCTTCATATCTTAGTTGACTCATCCTCAAAGTAGAACCAATCCTGTTCTCAGCTGCTAACAGAATCAATCCTGTTCTCAATATTGTCGAACTCATCACTGCTATTGACTTCAAGATTAGGAATAGGATAGATGACCATAAGCAACCAGTTATACAAATCTTTTGTTGACAAGAAGTAGGTGGAAATGAGCACACCTTTCAAAAACTATGCATAGAAAAAGATAAACCAAGATGAATAAATATTAATATCCTAATTGGCTTAAAAATGTGGCATACGAAACTTGTTGCTTCATATTAATTTTTACCTTATTATTTTCAAGTAATATGTTATGCCAAATACAATAAAAAGGATATCCAACAGAAAGGTCATTTAGAAATTGAAGAGTTCTTGAAATCACGGGCTCACATCTTCCCCGGTATTTAAGATTTGTAACACTAGAATAAACAAAACAAGAGAGTGAGATATTATAACACATTTTCCTCTTTTTGAGAAGTGCAGTGCAAAAACTCAGAGTAGCAGCGCATTATACTACGAATGTATTTCTGTGATACGTCTTAGGATTTTCCATTTATGAAACAGAAAATGCTATGAAAACATGCCATGTCTTTTTCCTGAACAAGGGATTCAAACATTTTTGTAATATTGTAACAAATACATTCATTTTTAAAAAATCCATCATCTGTCATAATGAAATAAATTATCTGAAGCTTACCCCTACTCATATCTATCTTACTCACTTTTCAACACAGTATCTGGCCACTTAACTTCTGTAGTATTTATCTGCCCAATTCTTTACAAGATAAAACCAAATTGCTATAAATTCCCTAGGAAAATTTCCATAGGAGAAATGGGGCACAGAAAAACTAAGGGCTAATTCACAGAGCTGCTGATATACCCAATTCCCAGTGAAACTCTACCTTGCAGTTCTTGTACTAATCCCTATTTTTCCTCTTCCCTAGCCAAGGTATATAGGGGATACTGCATTTCCCTAATTGCAACCCCTCTCAGACACAGGCATTTAGGAAGCATACTCTGATTAATGAACCAATGCATAAATTATGATATAGGATAACACTAGACCTATTATCAATCCTTGGGGAACACCACATAAAACAACTTACCATTTCTGACAGCAAACTCTCATAGTTAGCTTTTCAGTGAAATCATGCAGCTAACACCAGGCGATGATGAGTTGCTCTACTACGTTCCCATAGGTCAAGCATGAGACATGGAGCACAGAGCCATGACACTCTACAACTTCTTTTGTACTGTGTGCAGGTCAATGCAAAGACACCTAAGTGACTTGGGATGGAATCTGTTCTGTTCACCTACTAGATTTATTAGGAGGTGAAGAGGTGGCATTAACCTTCAGATGAAAGGGGTAAACTGAAGTCATTAAAGTGGAGGAACGTTAATTTTTTTCAAAAAACGAGTGGTTACAACAATAAGTTAAGAGTCACTGATCTTGTAGGCTGTCATTTCCTAGCTTTCTTATGGGAATGTCATGTAGACCAGTGTCAACAATCTTACTGAAGTCCTAATGTCTGATACTTACAGTTCCTGTTGTAAACTCCAGCCAGCGAGTCCAAGAAATTAGTGCCCCCTCCCCCAAGTAGCCCAAATGCATTCATCACTTAATTACACACTGACTACTAGTAACTTTTTCTAGTACTCCTTTGACAATCCAAGTTGGGCTGATCAGCCTATACAAGTTGCTTCCTCTTAGTTCCCTTTTTTGAAAGCAAGTACTGTGCCCTACTCTTCTGGGACATCCACCATCACCCTCAATTGCTCAAAAACCCCAAAGAAAGTTGAATGCCCTCTTCCTCAAGACAGGGAGATAATACTGCATGAGAGATTCACAGGAGAGTTTCTGGTACTGGATTCATCTGGAGAAATAAAAACAGGCCACCACAGCCTTTTGAAACCTAGCCCATTCAAATAAAAAGGCAGCACGATTTCCTGGCTCAGCAGCTCTGCACCTCTTCCAGATCACGATATCAAATTGCTACAGTGTATCTCAAACTGCCAGGTGACCAAGAATAAGTAATTTCAGATTTGCATGCCTCAGTTTCCTTGTCTGTAGAACACACATAATCATTCTGACTTTAAGCTGTCAGTTCTATTGACGAAAGACTACGACATAAGAGGTATAATCAGTACCAGCTATTTATACCATGAGACAATAGGATTTCAATTTTGGGAACATAGAACTTGAAGAAGAGATGTTAAATGTCTTTAAAATCAGCACTGATTATTGCTTTTACATATGCACAGGCTAAGGAATGTACTACACCACATAAACTCTTTTTCAGGAAGTTATAAACTCAAGAATGCAGTTTAAAGCATCTAACTGTTTAGTATTATTTGCTCAGGAAAAGGCAAATAACAATGCAATTACCAAAGCAGTATTCCTCAATTTAGATTTACAAACATTGATTTACTTTATAAAATCTCTATGAAGAGCTACAGAGGTTCAGATTGCCTTAAAGAAATAGCCCTTTCTAGCAAGTCCATAATTCACAGTTTATCCCTACTATGGGGAGTTCTGGAGATGTTTATAGTTGCACTAAATCCTTAACAAGTATATACCATACAAAGCAATAAAAATGAATTTGGACTATCCAGATATGACATCAATATCAAAATCATAAAAAGGCTATTTTGCAAAAGAGCAAAATCTTTGTCCTTCAGTAGCCAGATGTAAGACATTTAAAGAAAAACAAGTCATAGTGACAGCTTGAAGAGAAAATTAAAACTGTATAAGGAAGGCTCTTCATCCAACATTCAGGGTACTTTTGTACACATCTACTCTTTCAGTTCACGGTTGTATTTAGATGCTGAAAAATGGAGTAATAATATAAAAGCTAGAAAGTACTCGTGAGTGAACAGAGGCTGAAAAATTTCAATTATAATTGTAGCAATTCCCATTTCTGTTTCTGCCTTATCAATATCAGGCAAGATGAAAGACACATAAAATGTAGTATTTTAAGAAACATCTACAAAACATTATAAATATCTGAGAAAATTTGTAAAGAAGAATCTCATAATATAAAAAGCAGTTTTCCACTATGTAAGGAAGAGAAGCCAAGGAATGAAAGAGGAGAAAAATTTACAGCTCTCGGAGAAATCCAAGTGCTAGTGTCCTTGCCTCTTTCTCTCTCAAGTGGCTTATTGATTTAAAATATGAACTAAATGAAACAGAGTCAAAGGAGCCAGTCAAAGTTTCAGATGAGTCACGGAAAATAAGAGCTTCATCAAAAGCTACGCCAATGCCAAATTCACTAAACCATCTATGGTAGATGAGCACCAAACACATTTTAAAGGCAAGCACAAAAAAAGTGGAAATAAAAAATAGCAGAATATTTCCAATGTTGGTAACAATACCAGTATCAAAATACTGAACTATACACACACCCACAAAACCAAAAGAGCAACGGTAACACTGATGCATGCTGAAAAGCTATGAGAATTTAAAAAAATTAAATGAAACAGCATTAAGAATCCAGTACACTTTCAAATATTTGCTTTTACTTTGCCTTTATTAAGACAAGAATAAAACCTTCCTTCTAAAAGCTGTTCCAAAGAAGCTTCCCAGCTTTCCAACCTCCGAACCCTCCAGCTTGCTATGAGACTTTGTCTGTCACCACAACTGCTTACTAATGCAGTTCCATCAGCACACCAAACATCTCTTCCCTTAATACAGTGACTTAAAAGTATTATTTTCAGAGGCTTTGTATTTTTAACCTAAAATCTAGAAGGGGAAGGTAAACAATGATTATATACTCCAATTTACAATTCTCTGGGAAAACGGTTATCATATCATCCACAGAAGAATCAAAATTCTTTGCATGTATCAAGTCATTATGATATTTAGGCAGGGAAAGAATCAAGGCAAAGACATCCACTTCCAGCCTCTTAAATCCATTTCATGATTTGCCCCCCCTCAAAAAAACCCACACGCTATTGTTCTTAATTTCCTGTCCTGTCCTCAGTTTACGATTTGGAGAAAGACCCCTTCAGACACATGGACTCTATCACACTGCTCTTAAAAGTTCTGTCTGGTGCACAGCGAAGGACAACCCTTCATATAAGACATAGCAGTTCTTACGGCAGCAGTGGGTGGGAAATGATAGTGCTGGAGCATAGCAGCGGAATGCCCAGCTTAGAAGAGAGAACTGAAAACCATGTGGTGCAATTTACAAAAGAAAATTTTAGAGGAGGAGACAGAATCAGGGATGCAAGGTAGAAAAGCAAAAGCAAAGCGTAGTCAGCACAGAAAAGGGAGTGCTGAAGAGTGAGTACATACTGTACGAAGGGAGAGAATCCATTTGGTCACATGGATGGTGGGTACCTTCTCCATTTACCATCGCATGCCAAGGTTGCTTACAGGCCATTTTTAAGTGCCCAAAGAATTCATCCATCCTATTTCCAGGAGGCCTTGAACCCCTTCTCTGAAATGGAATGGGCAGGTATGCTATCACAATAAAGCTGAGGAATCCCAGGAATGCTATACTACCTGCACATGCATAGGTTACTGTACCTCACACAAGATTTGGTAATATGACAAAGAAGCAGTTACCAAAGGTAAGTAGCTACCAGCCAGAAGAGATGACAACTGCTGCAAATCAGCAAGTTTGGGTGTGGTGGTTTGTTTGTTTGTGAACCATGTAAATTTAGGAATAGCCTTGCTCTCAAGTTAAGGATATTACAAATACATTTGCATTATAAAAATCATAAAGATAAAAAAAATCATACATTTTAAACAAAACTTTCAAAGTTGCTTAAGGTGTCTGCTATCCAATTTCCATTAAAACGCAATAAAAATGGGCATCCAAATCCCCTAAAAAGACTTTGAAAATCTCTTCCTTATGTGGCACTTAAGTTTCAGTAATAATGAAGATAGCAATTTGTGGGCAAGAAAGCTCTGTACAGTAATGTTTTAATTATTTCTTGTAGATCATCATCATTTACAATGAAAACTCTCTGTGGCTCAATGACAGTGATTGGATATATACTTTTCATTAGAGCTGGACAAAGGTGAATAGTTATAAAAATGCACATTCTGTTGTGAATAAAAATGCCAAGTTTTAGTTTGCTATGATTCATGGAGTTCACGATCATGATTCAGAGATCCAGACTTTTTATATTTATGTATTACTTAAACATTGTCACATGGAAAATCTCTCTATTTATAATGTATGTATATGTGCATCCACCATAGTGAAATCAGTACAGCGGTTAAAAAAAAAAAAAAAAAAAAAGGAAAAGCAAAAACCACAACAGCAATGTTTGGATATGCATCTTTCATTCACATTTCAGTTATTTTATCAAGACCAAAAATACTAAGTATTTGGGCAAATATTTTGTAAATCTACCTCATGATAAATCACTTCCACATGAATCTGATAGTAATTGAAAGGAACCAGAAGAGGCTCACAAAGGATAAGTGAAGAAGAGGAAAGGTGCTTGCAGCGAAAATAAATACAAGACACTTTCAGCCAAATACCCAGGTCAGGCCCAAGGAGCAGACGGAACTAAAACTACTCCAGTCTAAATATTTCCTTGCCTCTTACCTATACAGGGAAGGATCAAGGCAGGTAAGTAGCTACTGCTCAAAGGGATGACCAGTGGAAGGAGAGGACTACTATTGGTTTTGGGTACAGTGCCTCATTCCCTTGCCTTAGGAGTCCTGGCCTTGATCCGCTTTCCAGTAGGCCAAGAGGCACAAGAATGTGTGACAGGGCTATTTTGAAAGTAGGAGCAACAAGGATAGAGAACTCCATAGAGATGGAGGAATAGTCTGTGCCTTTGAAAACCAGCACCTTAGGGAAACAGGCTAAGAAGAAAAATGTCTAAGGAGGCAGTGGGACCTTAAGTCATAGTCCTCCAGAATCTTGTAATCCACTGCAACCCTAGTAGCTCCTTCAAAATCCCATTGCTCCCTCTTGCCTGTCTTCACGCTCATGTAACTCCTCCCAGCTTATCCCTCCTTGAATCTACTCTATTGTTGCTACGAACAACAGCTGAGAAGTCTTTAAGATGCCTTGCAACTAGAAAAATTTCATTTGAGATTAGGTATTTTTTCAGTTGGCCTTTCCCCTTCCACACATACACCCTGTAAGGTGATGGTCAAAGCAAGCAAAGACAGTGGATGCTAGAAGAACTATCCTATAAAATTTCTGGTAAGACTGTGATGAAAATATAGCCATTATGGTTATTTGGACTACATGAAACTCCATCCCTTCAGAAATGGTTTAACAGGAACTCAGTAAAAGGCACATTCATTAACTTATCACATTAAGAGGTGATAAAAGGTCTAGGATCTGATGTGAAGGTCTAAAGGACACCTATTACACTGACAAATCTGAAAATATTTCTGTACTTTGAAGAGTATCTATTTCATACAGCCTTTAATCCATAAACTGAACAGTGGCTACTGCAGCTACTAGTAGCTATGACAAGTATTTCAAACTGCTTTCTGTTAATGGAAGAACTCACGGAGTTTGATCACCAATCCTCCACTGCAAAGCTGCTACTAATGAATTCAAAAGAACAGATTAAACCTACATACATGAAAGTGAACTGCTGAAAACAGAGAGATCTGAAAAAAGACAGCTCAGTAAAAAATGTGTTCAAAATCTCAAGAAATCAAAGAAAAATGCCATTTATCCATTTAAACATTACTGAGCTCGCATCAGACTTAAGGAAACTAGAAACTCCATGTGTCAACCAATAAGTTATCATAAAAAAAGGTTAAGTCTCTAACACCAGAACAAAAAAATAATTAGTATGTCCTGGTAGACTACAATTTGTTTGACTACCATAAATTCAATTGTTATGTTTACTTATCACACCAAGTACAAAATGCTTCCTGCATGCATCCTTCATTGGATTCTTTAATGGCAAAGTGGAAGGAAATAACCTGACATTGTCTTTTGATCATCCCACAGTGCTAATGGCAGATTACGATAAGGTACTTTTCTTCAACATTTTCTGATTTAAAAGACTGGTTGCCATCAGCCAGGCAACAATATTCTTTCAAGCATAACTCCTCTCAAACATTGTTGTGCAGTTACTAGATGAGAATATCACCACTTTAACAAGAAAGTACACACTAAAAATTCCCTAGCATTTCCTTTTAACCTAATGTTAAGGAATAATGTATGACAAATTTCACCTACTTAAAAGAAAAAAATGGATCTGTAGGGTAAAACAGCACAGTAGACTAGCGGCTTTCTAAAATAAGTGTGGTTAAAAATACTGACTACATCCACAAGAGAAAAAGGTGAATGGTCTCACAGTCATGTATCCTGCCCACTGCTGTTACGAATGTGCTAAGATTATTCTCAGTAACAGAGCACCAGAAATGCTGCCAGACTGGATTGCCCCATCAGACCCTAGTTTTTGGATTATATATCAGTATGTTATGGTTTCACACCCAGATTTTCCAACTGGCATGCTATCACTGGGGAGAAGCTCATTTATTTTAATTGACACAAACATGAATGTGTTTACACAGCAGTTTCACAGCTAACTCTTAAAGCTACTGACGGAATTGTCCATTTCAAGCTGTAACATCCATTCTGTAAAATGAAATTGATCTTCAATTTAATCAATGAACAATTCGTTTTTAGGAAAATACCTTAAGCCATGAGGAAAGAGAAAATAAAAATATAGAGTGTGTAATCTAAAAAGCAGCACTGATTTTTGCTTTTCACGTATCTAGTTTTCTTTTAAAATCTTCTGTGTAACATTAAAACCCTAACTATGTTTTTTTCTAAATTTACAGTACTTGTGCAAATACAGCGCTATCCAATCTAAACATATGTAGTACCTATCATACAACTTGTTAAATGATATACTGTTATTTCCTCAACTGGCAAAGGCAACAGAGATTTCATCTCAATGGCACCAACAAGTAGAAAAAGAGAATCAAACTAATGCACTTGGTCTCCCAACAACAGTCCTCTTTTCCCCTTTTTTCCTCAGTCGTTCAAGTTTCACTGTAGTTTGAAACAACAAAATGAAGCCTAGCCGTCTAGTGGCATGACATAGACTGCTTCCAGAAACTGTACAATAAGTATCCATCAATATTTTTTCATTCACCACCTTCCATTTACCTGTTTTCAAAGCATACTCCAGATAAATATTAAGGTTTGATGGGTACTACTGTCATCCTAAGGCAAGATGTAACTTCTGCTTTTGAGGAAGCAAAGCATTTATGCCTTGTTTTTCACAGAGAAGTTAAGTCATATTAGAAAATGACCTTGTCTTAATTGCTACTATTTCTCAAGGTTGGTAGTCATGGTAGCAAAAGACAAGCCATGTTTAATGCTGTCCGAACAGGTCACGGCTAACCGGCCAACATCAGTAGAGATGTTTCTCTAGTAGGTCAAAATCTACTGAAAGTATTTACACGTCTTATAAGTCAGATTTAGAGGGCATGAAGTAAATGACAGGATGCAGCATCTTCCTCACTGTAGAATAAAGAGGTAAGGTACTTGTTTCTCCTTCTCCAGGCACACACAGAACTCATTGTCTCCTGGGGACTCCCAGATTTTTTTAGTGGATATTCACAATTTTTCAGAGGGACCATTTTGTTTTGCTTCAAGAGCAAAACTGATTTTAGATGAAACTCTTTTTGAGTCAGGAGAAACTATCAAATCTCATGACGGACATAAGTAATAAAAGACAAAATCCTGGTAGTTTTTTGCTGGCACCCAAGGAAAGTGGCTGTAGCAGAGGCATGAGAAAAAGGTAGCTGCTCCAGAGTCATTTTCTAGGATTATTCTTAAGAGAAAGTATTGCAACGCTTATCTGCCAGAATAACATGCCATCTTATTCTGCCACATGCCAGAGATGAGAAGACAGCTGGTAATAATGCCCCTTGTCTCCTTCAGTATGAGGCCTTAAAATCCTCCTCTGTGAATCTGTATTTTTAAGAGAGCAAATTTTGCCAGAAAAGAGCCTCCCCAAAACAAAGAAAGATTAGTTTAACTTGGTCAGTTCCCCATTGTAAATTGCCATGAGGCTTTACAGGCAATTCCACTGACACCTAAGGGTGCCAGGAATGAGAAGTGGGGAAGGGTGGGGACTGCTTATGCCAGGCTGTCACTAAACAAGAGTCTATGAAATCTCAACTCTATTCTCCCTTAAGCCATTTCCAGAGGTGATGCAGGCACTGTGGAGGACATATCTAGCTGCAACTGTTTATTTAGGGGCCTGCAGTACCTGTAGAAAATAAGATACAGGTGCTTCTGGAAATGGTTATCCCTTACTTCAAATATGTAAAATTTATGGAAAACTTTTTTCTAGCAAAGAGCAAACTTAATGACAAAATAAAGCTCGGATTTTATGTAAACATTAAAGACAAAACAAAATACACACAGAATAGAACCCCAAGCACAAACTCACATTTTCGTCATAAATGTTTCCAGAACATGGTTGTCATCTGTTATTCCTAAGACTTCTGACATTCGCGTATACACCTGGAAACAAACATTTCAACAGTAGCATATTATAGACATTTACAAGTAACAACATTTTCATTTATTCTAAAAGCTTCCCTATTTTGATTTTGCATGAGAAAAGTACAGGCACAAAAGTACAGGCTGTCCATCCACCTAGCTGAAGCATTTGTAAGAGATGGCTTACACACTCTCTGATAGTGTTTTGTGAATTTGGGACTGATAGGCTTTTACTTGCCCTTGCATACATTTCTTCCTACAAAGGAGAGATAAATTTTCTACATTAAACTCACTTTGTTGTTCACAGAACAATACAGTCTCTATTCAAAAACCCTGTTTTATTGTAAAAAAAATTGCAAAGGGATGGAGAAAACTTTTTCTGCTGGTCTCTTTCCTCAGTGGGATGTGATTCAACACTGTCCTTTTGCTTGCAGTTTCAAGTTCTTGTACTGCCACTCATAAAATCTGGTAAATTAGGTACTCTTCAGACATTCATTTTTGTGTTCTCGAAGGGAGAACAAAGGCTTTGGCAACCAAGTAACTCGTATTTGTATACTTTTCCCCTTTATTTCAGATCCAAGACATATATTACTAGCCAAGTTCTCCCAGCACCCTACCTATCAGATCACACTGCTGTTATGATGCAGTAACAAATGCACAGGAAACATCAAGTATATTTTTTCCTTACCGTGTAATCTTCATAAAATTTTCTGGTAGTTTTAGTAGCCTAACATTTAGTTTGGATAAAAGCATTTAGTTGGGTTAAATCAACTTCAGAAACAGAAGGGAGACATGTACTGCAAATCTCTTTATAATCCTCTGCCAACTCTCTTTACTCTGAGCTCAAGTAACTGCTATTTGCTTACGATTGGGATAAACACAGACCTACCAGTCAGTACATTTCATTTCAGTCATTTTAACCTTTAGTGACACCAAAACAAGTATTATGGGTTATATGTAATTCTTCCACATGATGTGATCAAGTCAAGTATCACTAAGGTCTGAAAGGAGAGCACCAAGCACAGCACATGCAGCCCTGGCTACCCAGCAGTGAAAGCCTGGTGCCATCTAGCTGTCAATTTTGCTCGCTGACGTTACATATGCCACACAAATACCAATGGACTTCAGCTAACTCAACATTTCTGTTACTGTACCTAAACCTGCTTGTACCAACTTCCTTTCTGCTAGTGATGTAATCCCATGACTTTACTTAAAAACCAAACCAGCAGTGTTCTACCTCTGAGGAAGTCAATGATAATAATACAAATAATAAATAATAAAATAAAAATTGTGTTTTCATGTCCCAAAGACTTTAGTTTCAAAGCCAAGCGTAATAAAGGCATGAGGAAATAAAGTTGCAGCTCTAAGCAGAAATTGCACCAAGATCAAGGATAACTTAACTTGTAAGCTAACTTATCCTTTTATAATTGTATCAATGTAATTTATTGTGACAAAATCAGTAGTGAAAGGACAATCAAAATATGAAAAAAATTGTAATATACAACACCATCCTTCAAACATTGCAAAATATTATGTTCACACTGTAAATGTGAAGTTATCATTTATAGTAATTAAACACAGCAACAATAATATATTCAGATATAAAAAGAATATCTTCTAATTTTAAAAAAATCATCTCTCTAAATAGTGCACTGCTGAAATGCTATAGCAGCTGCAATTTTAGCAAAGTTTAAGAATTTCTGTATTTGATATGAGGAAAAGAGAAAAAGAGATAGCAAGGAATGCAAACATATCGGCAAACACACATTTAATTTAAGATCTTTCCTTTCTGCCACGGGAAACCAGTGGGAGAAAGGGAGTGTAAGCGAGCGCACATCGTAGTAGCATTGTGCTCTGTTGTCAAACTAGGCTCTCCCCACATCACGGTTTAACAAATAAAATACTAAAACAGCAGTCAGTGTTGACAAAGAGCAGTGCTTTAATCCACAATTATCCTTGTAACTCTTACTACTCCTTTTATCATCCATTAGCTTTGATTCCCATTATCCCATCAAGAACTGTGTCAACGCTTTTGTCCCTGGGGATTTCCCACAACTACTAGGATCTGACAGCCAAGCTTGAGTGCTAAGCAGGATCATTACCTCTTAAATCCACTTATCTGATCCACTGAATAGTAAATTGAAAAGCTCATTAACAGCAACAATCTGATTTGTTTTCACATGTGACAGGGTCATTTCAAGTCAGCATGAATACAGTGCTTGTAATAAAAACTACTACCCGTTCCGTAATGTGACAAATTGTAAGCTAAAATAAATGTGATATTTTAAACACCTTCTTCAAAATCATTTTCAAAACCAAGACACACTCTTAGCATCTAAAAATAGAAAAGCAAACAACCCCCAACCACAACAATGAAACGCCCTTAGACTTTTAAGCACTATAAAAAATTAATGATAAAGCATTTTGGACGTATAATAATAAAAACCACCTGAACAACAAAGACCGTGCTACATATTCAAAAGGCGGAGAAAAATACTGTTGAAAGGGGTCATAAAAGGATGTGGAATGGCATGTGGAAGTGATCTCATCTTCAGCTTGGCTCCCATCACGGAGCCACGAAGGTAAAGGCAGCAGAGGGCTTTGGGGGGGCCTGCGGGACCTCACAGCCGCACACCCGCTGGGCTTCCTCCTGCTGAGACCTCCCCTTCCTTCTTCCAGCAGGAAAAAAAAACAAGGCTTATGTTTTTAGTTGCCTCCAGACACTTCAAGTAAGGAGCAGGATAATTAACTTTCAGTAGGCAACAACCACTTTAAGACTTCTGGAAAACCTTTACACAATCATTCCCAAATCCTTAAAACTGCAGGATTTATAACTTCCAAAACAAATCCTGCATCATGCCATGATACCGCCAAAAATGCAAGCTTACCAGTAAAATATCATCACCATCTCATTCTTAAACAGTTACAAGCGTAAGCGAAACATCCACAGAAGTGATAACATTAGGCTGCAATGTTCGATGTGCTTTACAGGTACAAGTCCGTACTCAAGGTCCTTAAGGCAAGCTCGGGCTGATACCACCACTGCAACCAGCGCCCATGTGGCATTGCTATATTCAACGGTGATGGCAATGGTCATGACAGTGAAGAGAAAGAAGAGACCAGCAAAACACCTTCGATAATAATCAATAACAATTTCAAACCTATTAAAGCAAGTGTGAAGGCCAGGGATCCAGAGATCCTTTCCTTTTGCCCTGTTTGTACCATTAAAACCACCTCAGTGGAATCAGGACGTTTAAGGAAGACCGGAGGTTCCCAAGCTCTGGTGCCAGGGAATTTTTTATCATCTAGCAGATTTATCAGTGGTTCAAATTATGTAACTGTATACTTCCCAACTACTTGAACTGTACCTGCTGCGTTTCAAAAGGACGAGAAAATAAAATTGTGGAGGCAGTGTTTTATAAAGCAAAGCACTTGTATGTAAATACAGCCCAAGAAAACAGAGAAATAATTCAGTAATCACACTAAAACTTTATTTCCCTGACTTCTCTACTCTTTGACCCTAGATATATTTAACTTTGCTTTGTCTTTTGAGGTCTTATCTTTTTGGTACTATCATTACAACTCTGAAGAAGCTAATTATGTCAATTCTTAAATGTGAAGCAGATTACAGAACTGGGAAGCTCAGAATATGAGTTCCTAAAGGTTGTATGGCTATATAATGACAGTCACAGAAATTCAATAACAGCACTGTATGGAATGTACTCAAACGCACCCCATGAAACAAATTAAAACAGAGCAATGAATCTCTCACACTGTGCAAATAAGAAAACACAAGAAAATGTTGGTTTCTATATGTTTCATAAGGGCTATTATAATGAATTAAGATTTTCGATAATGAATCTTCAGAAAATTACAGTAAAGTTATTACCCGTAGGCACAGTGTAAATGCTTAAGATATTATAACTTCCTTGAAGCTCTCCAGGCCTTGCTGCAGAGAACTATCACCGCAACATTAAAGTATTTTGTCATGAACATTGAGGGCAACACCAGACCTTAACCATATTTACCCCAACCTGACAGAAGCTGGGTGGGGACAGCTGCTACAACCCAGCCTGGAGCAGCTGGGCTGGAGCACACATGGCAGGTCGAGGAGAGCACCTCCTTCCCCACGGTCCGTTTGGGAATTCACGCAATGCAGGGGCCACTACAGCAAATTTCTGAAACTGCCATCCCACCCCTCTGACTAATACCCCCGTGCATCACTCACTAAAACTCCGCACTAATCACGAGTTTCTTTCTCAGTGTCAAGTGCCACGACACATCTAGTAATTTCCACTGCTTTTTAAATCAAAATCAGGTATTTTGAATTTTCAGCACCTAAAAGCTCCACTACAACGCAGCAGAAATCCAGCTTCCAAATCCCACAGACAACTTCTGAAAACCTGAACTGAATCCCCTGATTAGCGTAGCAGGGTGCCAGATCATTCATCTTTACCTCCTGACCAAACTAAGGACTTAAAGAGCCTTGGCTTTTCTATCCTTCCCATAGCAGAGGAAAACCTTGGTCACTCGTAAAACCTCCACTCCTGACCCGCTGCCTTAAAAAGGTAAGATCTCAAAACACCCTTAACTCAGAGTCTAAACCAGGAGAATGGGCTAATCTGTTGTTTTATAGTTAGCTCCCTAAACGAAAAAAATTCCAAAACAGGCCATAAGAAATTGCCTCAGTTAGTTTCAGACAGGATCTCTGAAGATTAAGTTGGGCTTTGCGCTACATAAAGAGTAGGCTACTCTCCGATTCACTGCTACATGTGTTTGTAAGCAACCAGAGGAACTACACCAATTATATAAATGATACACTAGCTACTGTCTTACCTATAGACCTAGCTTAATTAAAATACTGCATAAAGTTATCCTCAATTGAAAGAGACCTACTATAAAATAACATTTAAAAATTAGGGTATTGTTATTACAACAAAGTGTAATGTTGTAGGGGAAAGGGTAAATCTGCTGTGTGGCTTAGTCATTGCCATGGATGTTATTTCCTTCCAAGTCTGTTG